TATTCCTTTAAATGAATGACTGGTATGGACACATCCATGATTTAACATACCTCATGAGTTGGTAACATTCAATAATATATTAAATGAATGATTGTCACAGATACATCCATGACTTAACTTACCTCATGAGTTGGTACTAATCAATGATGTATGAGATAAACGAGTGGTACGAACACATCCATGGTTTTACGTATGTCTCATGAGTTCTTGCCTGCACCACAGCGGTGCGCACGCATGCACGCACGCACGCACACACGCACGCACGCACGCACGCACGCACGCACGCACCTACCTCGCTTCACGCGTAGCTGCCGCAGCCGTGGCACGCCGATGGTGCGCGTGACCATGTCGGCAGTGAAGCCGGCCCAGGGAAACTCTTCACCGTTGTACAGCTCCGTGGGACTCTGGTTGGGCACGAGTGTGTTAGCGATGTAGTCCCACATGCTCTCCACATCCGAGATCTATCACGGGGGGTAACCAAAATATGGGCTAAACCGAAATCTCTTACAATGAAACCAAGCTGTTGTCTTAAAGTTGCTACGTCACAAAAATCTGAGAATTTTATTATTTAATATTATACATTATTCATCCGATTTAATCAGTTATTATTATTATTCAATCTATTATTGCAGCTATAATATAATGATGACATACAATACTTTTCGTAAACTCACGTCGGTAAAGGCTGTGTCGCCAGCGTAGGCTGCATTAATGAACACATCCTCCACTGATTTCGTCACCATGTACGCCCTGATCGCAAGAAATATCACATGCAGACATCCATCACCATCAAGCACAAAACATTGCAACAGAACAAACTGAATAGATCTATTCGCTTGGAGTGCTTGACATCATAGCGCTAACTCACCAACATTAGAGATAGGACATTCTAAAAACACTAACTAGTAACAAAGTGCCGCACTGTCAACAATTTGACATGCACGCGTGAAAAATTCATATAAACTAGTCTAGTTTGACCGATCTGGCAACAATATTAAGCAGGTAGTGTTTATCTCGTTTGGCCGGATAGGTCAATTAAGCAGAGAAACGCAAACCAGTGTAAAGGTATGCCAGCAGTAACATGGGACATGACCAAAAGTTGCGACAAAACACATTCACTGCCAACTCACCTGTTGTCTCTGTACTGATACACGAGGGTGCTGATCAGACAGATGAAACAGCAAAACAAGAGAACTTCCTTCACCACGTCGTTCATCTTGCGCTCGTGCAGCTGGCGCGCTCTGATGGCAGACACTTTCTCCTCCTGCATCGGAGCGTAGACGTACTGGGTCCTCCGCTCAGACAGATTCCTGCATTCACATAATTGTCAATCACGCACGTACACATATGGCATGTGATGGGATGGGATGGGATGGCATTGGACGGCATGAGATGGGATGCGGTGCAATGGCATGGCATGGCATGGCATGGGATGGGATGGCATGGCATGGGATGGGATGCGGTGCAATGGCATGGCATGGCATGGCATGGCATGGGATGCGATGAGATGGGATGGGATATGGGATGCGATGCGATGCGATGCGATGGCATGGGGATGGAATGGGATGGATGGATGGATGCATGGATGGATGCATGAATAGATAGATAGTTAGATTTTTTTTTGTATTTTCCTTTCAACCAAGCGGTCACCAACTCAGTAACGCCACTGATTTCCCCGGGCAACGCCGGGTATCCCGCAAGTATATATATATATATCAAGAGTACATAATAGAGATTATAGAGATATAGAGATATAGAGATCTCTATTATGTACTCTTGATATATATATATGTCTGCATATGCGTGTGCGTGTGCCTGTGCATGCGTCTGTGCGTGCGACCCCCTACATATTGTACGGCATCTACTTCTACGCGCAAGTGCTGACCTGCGTAGGGCATGGTCCTCAGCTCCAGCGTAGACTGGTAGGTCCATTCGTCGGGAGGCACGCGCGGGTAGACGACCTCACGCCAGCCGGGCGAGTAGCTGCTCACGTCCTCCCGCGCCAGCGTGTACGAGGAAACGCACGGCGGCAGCAGCGCGTCAAACATGGCGGCAATCCTACACGAACCTACGCCGCCGCGCGAAAGAAAACACGCGAGATAGATTACCCCCAAAACCATACCACGATGATTGGGCAAGTGAGACCATGAATGCAAATGCAAGTAGCAACAATACAATACAAAAATACACAACTATGATTAAAGGTTACAAATGCAATTGTAAAATTCAAACTACAATTGGTTGTGTGATCCATTTCTGAAGACATATCTATTCAATAATATGTTAAATAAATGATTGGCACGAATATATCCCTGATTTAGCTTACGTCATGAGTTGGTACCATTCAATAATGTATTAAAAGAATAATAGGTCCATTGATTATGCAATGTTGACGAATGCTAGAGTAACTGGCACCTTGGGTAGTTAATAAGTACATTACCTTATAGCCACACGCGTATTAGTTTGTCCAATATCACTGCTGGTTACTAAGAAATGTCTAATTGAAATCCGCAGTCCAAAAATCAGTTGTTTACAGTTTCAAACTGCTGCCGGCGAAGCAAGTGTGATACAGATTTATAGTGCACCAGACATTTTCACACGCATGCTCGGCTGTATGCAATGCTATCAATATCATCAATGATTTCGTAAACATGGCCGCTCGTGATAAGGAACTTTTTGTCAGGGCTGTTCACGTGCGTCCGTGATTAGTACGTGTGTTTTACTCTATGTCCATGTTTAGTCCGTGGCCGTGGTTACACAGCTGACACCTCCGTCACTCCGTCCGGGCCTCACAAATGTTTACGTCATCGCTTGACTCCTGGATGACATTTACGGCACGTAAATTATACGTTGATACATATCAACAACCGATTTCAAGTCTTGTTTGTAATGTAACCAGCAGTGATATTGGACAAACTAATACGCATTTGGCTATAAGGTAATGTACTTATTAACTACACAAGGTGCCAGTTACTGTAGCATTCGTCAACTTTGCATAATCGATGGTCGAATTATGCCTTTAACTGTAGGGGAAGCTTTGGATAGATTTCGTCATACAAAGCCAAGAGTTCTATTTTAAAACTGTCACTGTATGTTTATAAATTATATGTCACTGTAATGTCAGGCAACGTAATGTGGTTAATAGGTTAATCTATCTGCCAACTGCATAGCTAACTCGGGCGTCAACGCTTATTTTCAGATCTGGTAATTGTCCTGTCGGCCAACAAGAATCTGTTTTTAGCTCATCTGACATAGTCAGATGCA